ACTTCCACCCGATCCATCATTTTGTTTGTTCCCTGTTTGTGTGATTTTGTAGAATACTTTTTGACTTCCCTCAAACCTATCTATAGATCCATGGCTTCTGTTGTTGTTGTTGTTTGGTGCCATCAAGTTGGTACCAACCCATAGCATAGCAACCTTATGCACAGCAGAACAAAACACTGCCCGATCCTAGGCCAACCTCACTACTGTTGCCATGCTTGAGTCCATAGATGCTGCCACTTGGTCAGTCCATCTCGTTGGGGATCTTCCTCTTTTTCTCTGACCCTCCACCTTACCAAACATGATTCCCTTCTCCAGTGACTGGCCCCTCCTGACAATATGCCTGAAGCATGAGAGACGAAGTTTGGCCATCCTGGCCTCCAAGGAGCACATTTTCCAAAACGGATCTATTGGTTCTTTTGGCATCCCATGGCACTTTCAGTTTTCTCCTCCAACGCCATAACTCAAAAGCATCAATTCTTCTATGGTCTTCCTTATTCACTGTCCAGCTTTTGCATGCACATGAGGTTATTGAAAATACCATTGCTTGGGTCAGGTGCACCTTAGTCCTCAAGCTGACATCTTTGCTCTTCAATACTCTAGAAAGGTCTTGTGCAGCACATTTGCCTAATGCAATGCGTCTTTGGCTCTTGTTCATTGAAATGGTTGAACATTAACCATTTCCTTTTAGTACAGTGACTCTGTGTATTCCTTCCATTTTCTCTTGATGCTTTTTGCATCATTCAATAATTTGCCCAGTGAATCTTTCAATAACAAACCAAGAATCCTTGTTCCCTGGCTCTTGGTTTGGTTCCATGCGGCAGTGACAGAGCAGGTGGCTGTAAAGCGCCCATCTTGGGATGGATACTATCAAGCAGGGATAGAGTGTCCTTACATTCTCTTTAGTTATTGAATAGTCTTGGAAGCAGGTATTTTGATTTCTAACCATCTACTCAGAGAAAAAGAGGAGGATCCCCAGCAAGATGGATTGGCCAAGTGGGCTCAAGCATGGCAACAATAGTAAGGTTGGCCCAGGATCGGGCAGTGTTTCGTTCTGTTGTGCATAGGGTCACTATGAGTCGGTACTGACTCGATGGCACCTAACAACAACAACTAACCAGAAGATCAGTAGTTCAAGTCCACCAGCCGCTCCTTGGAAACTCTATACAGGTTCACTGAGTCTGAACTGACTCGATGGCACTTAACTGTGGGCCTTGGGGGCGTTCTGTTGGACTGCTAACCACAAGGTTGGTGGTTCAAACCCTACTAGCCATTCTGTGGGAGAAAGATGAGGCTGTCTCCTCCTGAAAGGGTTACAGTCTCGGAAAACCTGTCTAAGATCACTGAGTTGGAATCAACTTGCTAGCAGTGGGTTTCTTTGGAGCTGGAGCTGGATGTAGTCAGCATTACATTTGCTCTTTCAGTAACTGTTGAGGCAGCATGTGAAACTATGGAATATAGAGAAATAAGCATCCTGTGCCCTCCACTGGTGTCCCTCCATCTTCAGGGATGGGCTTCACCGCAGTGGACAGCCTACATCCAGCCAGCCTCTGCCTCAGCTGGGCTGTCCATGTCTAGTCAATGCTGTCTGAGAAGTGTGGTTATTAAGGACTGTCGAGGTGTTTCCAACTCATAACGACCCTGTGTAGGGTTTCCGAGGAATGGCTGGTGAGTTTGAACTGCTGACCTTGTGGTTAGCAGTCAAGTGCTTATCCTATAGCACCACACCAGGACTCAGTCTGAGAAGTATTATCCCCATTTTCTAGATGAAGGAACTGAGGCTCCAAGAGGCCTAGACATGAGCTCTCCAGCTGGTTACAGGTTAGGCTGGGGACTCACCCTCCAGCCTCATTTCAAAACCCATCTCCTGGTCATGGAACCTTGTCCACTCAGCTCACCACACAGAACCGCACCCTCAGGAACTTGGGTCCCAAATCCCAGCCACGCTGTGGACGAGGCCAGTCCTTGAGGAGGTAGCGGTCCCATGTGAGCTGAGGCCAAGGTTACTCCTTGCTTCTGCACAGAAACACCCCACCCCCACCCTCACCTGTGTGCTCTTGTTTGACAGGTGCAGGCTGCCACCTGGGTGGGGAATGCCCAGGACCACCACTAGCCAGTGCGTCGGAGCCCACCTGGGGCTCAGTACCAACTAAGACCAGCCCTGCTTTAGTGAGCCACCTGACGTGCAGCAAGTTCAGATGCCCTGAGTCCTTAGCACATGTCAGACTTAGTGCAGATTCAGGCCCAGAGGGGCCAGTCTGGAAACCTGAAGCTGGTTCGGTGACTGTAGCTTTGGTGACAGCCAGAAAACCGAAGGTATCTGCAAGTCCAGCCCAAGGTAGGATGGGGGATGGTGGAGAGGGAGCAGGGGGCACCCTGGGCCAAGGGCTTTGCACCTGTGAGAGAGGTTGTTGTTATGTGCCATCGAGTCAGTTCTGACTCACAGCGACCCTGTATAGGGTTGTAAGGAGCCGCTGGTGGGTTCGGACCACTGACCTTTGCAGTTTGCAGTCCAGTGATTATCCTATAATGCCACAGCAGGACTCCTGACCCCACCCCCACCCCCATTTACAGACGAGGAGGCGGGCTCTGCAGCCCAGAAGTGGCCCAATCAGAGTCGCCCCTGGGGGAACAAACAGACCAGTTTCCTACCCTTTTGGCCCAATCCTGCCTCTCATCCCACTCCAAGTAAAAAAGGGGGAAAACTCAAAGAAACGAGCCCAGGGCAGATTTATTTTTCCTCCAATGAGTTGTGTTTTACAGTTAAGCATTTTCAGCGTTGCGTCCAAGGCTGGTGCTGTCGTACCTATGCTGGGTGTATCTGATGGCAGGAAGGAAACCTGTAGAAAGCTGGCTGTGTCCAGAGAGAGTCAGTCGTATTTAAAGTCGTGGGGGGCTGCCCTGCAGAGCGGGCAGGGGTTTAGAGCTGAGAGGAGAAAGGGGCTGACCTGGGCATGGCATGCGGGGGGACCGCCTCCCTAGTGCAAGCAGCACCCGGACTGTCTGGCCAGGACCTACAAAGGGGACAACAGAGCCAGGGCCATGGGATGCCTGGGACCCGGGCCGCCTCAGCCCCGCCGCAGCGCCTGCAACTGGTGGGCCACCTTCTCCAGCTCTGCCTCGATGGCTGACAGGCTCTCCAGCTCCTGGTCCTGTGAGAGGACACTGGGGTCAGGTGGGGACTGGCCCGCTGCATGACCGGGATTTGGTAGCTTTGTCTCTCTGAGCCTCAGTGTCCCATGGGGACAATCCAGGGTACTCAGGTCTATTTGTGATCTGTCTGGTGAAGGGAGCAGCCTACACCCCACGCTGTCACGGGGGCTTCTCATCCAGCTCCCACCTTACCCTAAGTAACCCCAAACAGGTGTAGGGGGTCTGTTCTCTCTCAGAACCCAGGGAGAGCCAGGTCCTCCAGAGCGAGCCCCCTACCCTGAGTCCAGTACAGGCTATGGGTAAGGCTAGGCCTGAGTTTCCAGATCTTTACCTTCCAGTGGGCGTGGGGACCATGGCATAGGCTGCATGGTGTGAGCCTTCTAACTGGCTGCCAGGGTGGGTCCAGGAGGTAGGAACCTCCAGATCCTGACTGTGCCCCCGGAAGCTTCCAGCATCCCTGCCCCAGAGCTGGGACTGACCCCCACAGGAGAACACTCTCTGACTGGAGCAGGGTTCCAGGGAAGGCCATCTCCCAGCCTTGACCCCGAGGGCATTTCTTCCGCAGTCCCTGCTGGACACCAGGCAGGCGAGGAGGGCATCCCTACAGCCTGCCTGGGGTAAACTCAGGGCTTTCAGTCCTCCTCAGGGCAGCCCTGGGTGTGAGTTCTGTGATGAAAGGGCTTGTTTCTAAGAAGACCTTTGGTCTGTGTGTAGGTTCCCCCTACCCCCTCAGCCTTATTCCTCCCCCCGTGTCTCCACTCCACAGCTTAGGGCTCTGATCCCACCTGGACACTGAGGCTCTCACAGGTGCCCCCAAGGCCACGTCCAGCTCCAGGGTGGTGCTAGGAAACCCAGCTCTCACCCCACCCTCCTCTGGGCTTTGTCCTTGCCCCATGAGCTGTTCATGGTCCCCTGAGTGTGATCAGGTTCCCAAAGCTCATGTGTCCTATATTGTGAACATGAGGTGAGTGAGTGGGGTCCCTTGCCCCAGAGAATGGCAGTGGCCAGCCCAAGATCACACAGCTAGGGAAGTACCCGGGTCTTCTGGTGGGCGTTTGACCATCAGGCCAGGAGAGGCCTTCTTGCCTCTTAGTGCCCCTCACATGTTGGCCCAGCTTGGGGCCACTGGTCCTCTAGGCCTATCCCTGCCCCCTCCCTGCCTGCCTCTCCCTCCTCCCTTATCTAGACCCTCTAGAGAATCCCCCTCCAGTCTCAGAACTGCCCGGGGACCATGTCCCTCTCTGGGGTAGGGCAGCAGTCCAGGGCCGGGCTGTACCAACCTCTGGTCTGCGGTTGGCACTGCCTTCTTCCTCCTTCTTCTCTTCTGAGTAGCCGCGGCCCGGGACAGGCAGGCCTGCCTCGACGCTGTCCTCCTCGGAGGATGGGCGCCAGCCTCGGCGCACCTGTGACCCAGGAGCCCTGAGCCCATAGGCCCGGGTCCGGAAGGAGAGCTTCATGGAGCGGTCTGGGTCCTCCTCCTCCTTCATGTCCTCCCTGGCCTGCCGTTTCTCGGCTGTCAGCTCCTTGGCTAGCTGCTCCATCTTGCTCCAGCGCTTGGCACCCTCCCACTCCTTGGGGATCGGCTCCTCCTGCTCCCCACTCTTCCAGCCTCGGAAGAGGCCTTCAGGGGTCCCCACTGTCTCCTCCGACTCCTGGGAGTACTCCTGCTCCCCCTGCTTCTTGGGGGGCGGAGCCTCTTCAGCCCCAGTCTTTCTGGTTCTTTCTGTGGTCAGGACCTCGGTCCGACCTGGAGCTGAGAGTGGACAAGAGCAGGACAATGAGGGAGGGACCACCTCCTCCCATTCATGCTGCCCTCTGGAGAGAAAAGCCCTGTTTTACCAGACTTTTGCATGAGTTTCTAAAAGCTCTGTTGATCGGGGGGTAGGTGGTTGGAGCCCTGAAGAGTTTGAACCACATGGGTCACTGGGAGGGGGGGAAACAAGACCCTCATGAGGACCCAGGGTCTCCTAAACCTTGATTGAAGCAGATGCTGTCCCCAGCCTGCTCCCACCTGCCAAGTTATCCCTTTGTTTCCCAAATCCACTCACATATCCTGCAAATCTCCTCTGGGTGTCACCTAGGGCTGTGTGGAATTGTGGGAGATGCGTGGTTCTAGAGTCAGACTTAGGTTGGATGGAAGCTCAACTTTTACTACAAATTCGCTGTGTGACTAAGGCAACCTGCTTAGCCTCTCTGAGCCTCCTTTTCAAAGCTGTTGTAAAGGTGGAATGAGATCACAGATGAGGTCGTTCCTGCCACCTGTCTCTGCTCTCCGATACACTTGAAGGTTCAGGCATCATACATACTTTTGCCCCTTGGGGTCTCCTTGTAGCTGAGGCTTGTGTGGGGGTTCACAGCGGAAGTGGGGCTCTCTTCCTCAGAGTCAGCCTTCTCCCCAGTCTCCAGCTCCTCGTCTTCCTCCGGACTCTTTGCTGGTTGCCCTTTCTCCGTGTCCAGGCCTTTCTCTGTGCCCACCAGGTCCCGTGCTGGGCTCTCAGGGCCTGCATGTTTCTGGCCAGGAAGACTAGCAGGGGGGTGGGTGTTTATGTCCTCCTCCCCCCCAGGGGCTGGGGTGTTCTCCATCTCAGACCCCTCTCTCGGTGCCAGGGAGGCCCGGGGCCTGGCTCCCTCTGTGATGTCACCATGGTTCTCTGCCTCGTTTGAGTGGTCTCTTTTCTCCACAGCCTCCTTGGGGGATGCCTCTCCCGGCACCTCTGTAGAAACAACAAAGCAGAGTCAGGCCCCGGGGACAAGGCTGCGCCTGGGTCTCCCTGGAAGCCAATTTCCAATGTTTGTCATTTCTTCACGTCCTACCAAGCAAGCCCAGCTCCAAACACCTTGCCAGAATGCGGGTTACCCCCTCTGAGCCCTCGCTTCACCTAAGCACCGTTAGATTACGTTTCGTTCATGTCATTCTGCCTCTAAAATCACAATGTGTTCAAAACAGACTTTGCAAATGAGCCCAGAAGAGAGCCCTGAGCTGAAAATAAGGACCCCTGTTGAATTGCTGGGTGACCTTGGGTAAGTCCTTCACCTCTCTGTGCAGGGAGCATTACCTGTGTACACATTCTCCCTTCAGTTCAGCAGGCTGTGGAAGTGCTGATGGCACTATAGGATAAGCACTGTTTATGAGGACTGCTAACCCCAAGGTTGGCAGTTCAAACTCACCAGCTGCTGCAAGGGAGAAAAAGAGGCTGTCTGCTCTCCTAGAGATTCACGGTTTAGGAACACTATCTAGGGTGGCTGTGCCTCAGAATTGAAGCTCAGCTTTTACTACATTTGTTGTTGTTGTCGAATTGATTCTAATTCATAGCGACTCTGTATTGGGTTTCCAAGGAGCAGCTGGTGAGCTTGAACCGCCAATCCTGTGGTTCAAATGGACCTTGCAATCCAGCGCATTAACCACAGCGCCACACTACAACAGTGGGTTAATTTTTTTTTTTTTTTTCCTAAAGGGATGTGGGCGGTGATTGCATGTGTCTGATAGAATCAGGATCACTGAATCGTACGTGTAAAAACTGTTGAATTGGCAAATGTATTTTCTTGGAGCCGCCCTGAAAATAGCATTCTAACCGGCAAAACTCCCTCCCATCCCTACAATGGTTTCCTTTTAATAAACACTAGCATACTGGTTCTGAATCGGGCTGCGAACCTCAAGGTCAGCACTTTGAAACTACCAGCTGTTCCACGGGAGAAAGATGAGCCTTTCTGCTCCCATAAAGATTTACAGCATCAGAAACCCCATACAGGGTTGCTATGAGTCGGTTCCGACTCCACGGCACAGGCACACACCACCGCTAGGAAACAGCCCCACACAGTTTCTCAGCCCCTGAGTTTCATTCAGTCTCCCGGCAGGGAGGGTGAGTAACATGCCTACAGTGACCAGCCCACGATCTCTCTGACCCTAAAAATCTCTCTGGTTTCAGAAAAGATGAACCAGATCTAGCTTGTGTTTCAAACCTACTCCTTTAGGATCCTCCTGCACTTTTGCTATTCTAAAATCCCCAATTCACACCTGTGGTTGTGGAATCAGTTCTGACTGTGATGACGTCATGTGTTCCTCTGCTGCTGTCGCTAGTGCTGTTGAGTTGATTCCAACTCATAGCAACCCTGTGTAGGTCTTCCGAGGAGCAGCTCGCCGGCTTGAACTGCCGACCTTGCAGTTCAAACTGGCCTCACAGTCCAACGCATTAACCTACAGTGCCACATCTCTAAGGTACTACCAAATCCATGGGGTCAGATGACCACGGGGTAGCTCCAAAGCTACAGCTGGCTCCTCTGGATTGGGGGGCAGATGGAACCCACCAGAGGCTTTGCAGCGAGACAGACCCTGATTCAAAGACCCTGATTCAAACCCCAGCCACAGAATCTTGGACAAGTTATTTAACCTTTCTGGGTCTGGTTCTCCATTTAAACCCTAGACTGCAAATCACAAGGTCCGTGGTTCAAGCCTGCCAGCCACTCCATGGGAGAAAGATGAGGCTCCAGCTCCCAGGAAGATTCAATGCCTTGGGAACCCTATATACTGTTGCTATGAGTCAGAACTGACGCAACAGCACATAACAACAACAAAGGGGAGAAGACACGTCCATCTTCCAGGGTCTGAAGAAGGGGCCCTGGCTCGGGAACGCTCAGCCCATCATAACCATGATAACTGCCCTGGTCCCTGCCCTGCCTCTGGCCAGACTGGCTGGACTGACCCTTCTGCTCGGCCTTGTCACTCTCGTTCTCAAGAACCTCTGAGAATTCATTCTCAAATCCACCATGCTCCTTCTGCTGATGGGCCCTCTCCTTGGCACCTGGATGAGAAAAGGAGGGAAAAATAAATTCCATCAAGTTAGAGCCCAGAGCCAGCCTACTGGTCCAAGAGGGTGAGCACCTCCATTTCAGTGTCTGTCAAGTGGGTACATCATGTACCAGACCTGAGGACCCAGAACTCAAGGATGCATGAAGGCTGCAGGTCATCTGTCTCTCACCTGGAAACCGAGAGCAAGCCTTCTGGTCTGCATAGCAGTCGAGGTACAAGAGGCCACTGAGGGTCCTGGGGGTTTGAGTGAGGAGTGGGAGGCCCCTAGGACCTGGCTGGTATCTCAGGAGATTCTAGACTCTGCAGCTCAGAGTCACAGTGACCACCTCTCCCCTCACAGGTGCTCTTGGCCCAGGTGATCCCTGCTTTCCAGGCCCCGTGAGTCCATGCCCTGGGGAGAAGGCCAAGCACTAAGTGTGCACCCCACCCAGGGGTCCTCGGCCTGCCTCTACCCCAGGGCTCGGGGCCTCCTCCCTGTCTCCACTCCTGTGCCTGACACCTGACAATGCCTCTCGGCCAGGCCCAGCTCTGCGGCCAGGGGTGACTTTTCCCCACCGTGGTAACTTGCAGTGAGTAAGTCCCAGCTCCAACCTCAGGCGCCGTGGACTTGCCAGGACGCTGAAAACTCATGGAATCCAGAAATGGGGACAGACAGATGGACCAGGGGCGGGGACGGACGGACAGGGGGACAGACGAATGAGTGGATACATGCATGAACAGATGGACAGTCATCCTCTTTTAACAGAAAGTGATCATATATTTGTATATTTGTGGTACGAATGGTTAACATGCTTGGCTGCTATCCAAAAGGTTGGAGGTTTGATCCGCCCAGAGGCACCTCAGAAGAAAGGCCTGGTGATTTACTTTAAAAACAAAACAGAAAACAACCCAGCCATTGAGAACCCCATGGAGCGCAGTTCTATTCTGACACACTCGGGGTTTTCGTACATCCGACTAGATGGCACAAGGAGCTCTGGTAGCATAGTGGTTACGAATTGGGCTGGGAACTGCAAGGTCAGCAGTTCAAAACTACTAGCTATTCCGCGGGAGAAAAATGAGGCTTTCTGCTCCCATAAAGATATACAGCCTCGGAAACCTTGTGCAGGGTCGCTGGAGGCAGATACTAGACTGCTAGCCACAAGGTCAGTAGTTCAAACTCACCAGTCACTCCTCAAAAACTGTATACAGGGTTGCTATGAGCTGAAACCAGCTTGACGGCACTTGACAATAAAGTCCTGGTGTGGCATTCACTGGATCACTGACTACAAGGTCAGCGGTTCAGACTACCCATCGCTCTTTGGAAACCCTATACGAGGTTGCTGTGAGTGGGAACTGACTTGGCAGCACTTAACAACCACAGCCCTGGTGTTGCCGTTTTTACTGGACGGGAGTTATATTATTACAGTCTAGCTCTGAAAATTAAACGACTAAATTGTTACATTTAAATGATGAAATGCAACGCCAACAGAGACTATTCCACGGAAATGAGTCTTGAACCATCTTCTGCCCGCACACATATCCAGGTGTGTGTCCAATCTGAACAAAACACAATGTAGACCAACTCCTGTGTCATCTAGTTGTTTGTTGTTGTTAAGTGCCGTCGAGTCGATTCCAACCCATAGCGACCCTGTATAGGGTTTCCAAGGAGCAGCTGGTGAGCTTGAACTGCTGACCTTGCAATTCAAATGGGTTTGGAGTCTGGTGCATTAACCCACAGCGCCACACCAGGACTCCACCACTCTCCCTGCCAAGGGACCCTCCAGCATGAACCCGCACCCACTTCTATAGCAAATCGTGGCTGGGCTGTGTCTAGCGTGGTATGGAGACATGAAGGATGCTCTGGACCTGGGGAACCCCACACCAGGGTAGATGATGGTAAATTAATAATGTGGGTCATAATAACCACAGCTCCATCCTCCCAGCAACACAGGAAGTGGGTGCTGACCGCAGGCTGACTGGTAACTGAGAGGAAGGACGGCACGTGGACATGGGAAGGACCAACTGCTGCTGTGATGAATGGTCCTCACCTCCTCTTTCCATTCCCACACATGGCATGGGCTGCCCCAAAGGCCTCAGCTTGGATTTGGGCAGTCAAGACTCTGCCTTCCCAACTCCACCTTGAGCAGATAAAGCTTACATGTCTCCTTCCCAGAGACCAACTTTGTTTTCAATTAACAGTGGGCAGGGGATCCTCGTAGCTTTGAAGAGTCTCGTCTAGTCTTAAAACTGTCTTGTTGAAAGGGCTGGACCTATAGAGCACATGAGGTGTAAGGATAGCTGTTTCTGGTCTTGGCATGCCCCTAACTTACTGTGTGATGTTGGACAAGTCACCTCTCTGGGCCTTGATCTCTTTAATTGTATCAAGAACAGATTGGGATGAGTGGCACAGAGACTCCCCCAACCTTTTTATTCTATCACTAAGGAAGTAACTGAATACCAGAGAGAGATGGAACCTTGCTCAAGCCATCACCCTCAGTCACTGGAATTTACCCAGAATTAAGTGCAATGGCTGGAAAATACCTTGGAGGGCTAGGTCCTGGAGCTCCTTCAGTAAATTCTGGTGTCGTAGGATGGAAAGGATCCGTTCATCTGCAGTGAAGATAATCGTTATGGGTGATTTCCAAAAAACAGCCCAGAAAGAGATCTCCATCAATATTTTCAGCTGAGCTCAAGGAATTTATGCTGGAAATTTAAAACCTGCATGCAGCGCAGCACAGCACAGATGGGTCTTGAGATAAGACTTTCGAAACCCTCTTCCCTCTAAGGTGTCCATTTCCACCATTCCAGTGTCTCTAAGCCCCACACCTTTCTCCATCTTTGTGCCTTTGCTCACCTAGAGACAGACCCTTCCTTGTGGATTTCTGATTGTTCTTTTAAAGCCCAACCCATATGTCATTGGCTCCATCTATGCGGTGGCTCAGCTGGAAAAAATGTTGTCCTCCTATCCCCCATTCCATTCACTTGTTCATCACACATCTACAGAGGGTCTGCTAGGAGCCAGAGGTTGTTCTAGACACAGGGGATATAGCACACACAGTCCTGGTCAGCAGGGGGCTCACACTCTAGTGGGCTTCCTGTCCCAGCCCTGGTTTCATTCTCTCCAGAATTCTATGTGTTCCTTGCTCATCTCTGTTCTCTCTTCATTTGGGTTGGGCTTTTAAAAGAACAATCAGATATCCACAAGGAAGGGTTTGTCTCTAGGTGAGCAAAGGCACAAAGATGGGGAAAGGTATGGGGCTTAGAGACACCCTACCACATCCTCAGGGTCTACCATCTGTTGGCTGAAGCCTGGGTGCTGGGGCAGTAGAAAATGGACACCCTAGAGAGAAGGGGTTTTTAAAAGATCTATAAGCTCCCCCTGTAAGGTCCAGGAGTAGCGGGGTCACTTTAGCTCATTGTAGCTCCTCAGGCCCCAGTATAGTAGTGCCTGGCCAAAGCAGACACTTGGTCAGTATTTCATGAATGAAATCATTGAATTCCATCAAAAGCCACATCACCCTCTCCTAGCCTCCCAGCCCAACAGGAAGTGACCTTCACCCCCAACCTCTGACCCGTACCTCCTTGGAGGGTCTCGAAACACTCCTGGCTGACAGGCATGGGGCTGGGCTTGGAAAGTGTGTCAGAGATGACCTCCACGATACACTTCATCACCTGGGAAGTGAGTAGAGGGTGGGTTGGGACTGGTTTGGGCATTGCATTGGGCTTGGCCTCCAAAGGCCCTGGGACAGGTTTATAAGAACAGAAAGACATTGGTTCTTGTGTTCAGGAGCTCATGGGTACCTGGGTCATGGGCACAGCTCTGCATCCTTAGCCAGACAATAGTAGCAATGATACCAGCAAACCCTTAAATGCTGCCAACCAGGTGCCCTTTAAGGCTGGTCATGGTAGAGATGGGGTGGAGAGTGGAGACCTGGTATCTTTTCATCCCCAAGAAATATTTCTTTAAAGACTGGGAAGCTGCCCCTGGGATTGGAGAGATGTCTTGTAAACCTGGTTTAGCCTTGAAGATGCTCAAAAGTCAGGTGCTCCAGGAAGCCCTTCTGAACTGCCCAAGGGGTAACCAAGATCTTCTCTAGAAATAAGACTTAGGTCCTCAACTCCCAGTGCCCATGGTGCTGTCTTCTGACTGTATTCACCCATGGGACAAGTCCTCTGGCTGGATGTGGGGCACCAATCATCTACATCTGGGTGCCCACCCCAGGCCAACAGCAGCCCTGTCTCTGAAAGTCATGCGCAAGCCCAGCAAGGAGCGATAAACAATTGTTGCTGTCATTGTTAGCGCCGTCAAGTCAGTTTCAACTCAAGTGACCCCATCTAGGGTTTCCAAAGACTGCCTGGTGGGTTTGAATCACCAGCTTGTGGCTAGAAGTCCTGTGCTTATCTTATAAGTGCTATACCAGGACTCCTATGAACAAGTATTTAGTGCCATCAAATCAGTTCTGATTCATAGTGATCCCGCATAGGATTTCCAAGGAGTGGCTGGGTTTGAACCGCCAATCTTGTGTTTAGCAGTACAGTGCTGATCCTACAGCGCCACACCAGGACTCCAATTGTTGTTGTTGTTGTTGTTGTTGTTATGTGCTGTGGAGTCAGTTCCGACTCATAGCGACCCTGCACAGGGTTTCCGAGGCTGTTAATCTTTACAGCAGAACACCTCATCTTTCTCCTGCAGAGCAGCTGGTAGTTTCGAACTGATGACCTTGCAGTTTGCAGCCTGATTCGTAACCACTACACTACCAGGACTCCAATTAGCACCTAATTAATAGGAAATCTTTGCTGATGGTACTCACTATAATTTGGTATCTTAGCTATATGATCTGTCTCAGCCTCAATTTCCTCATCTGTAAAATGGAAACGAGAATTCCTGTCCGACCACCCTCCCAGAGTAATGAGGCACAGCTGGGTCAGTGATCTCTAAAGCATGAAGTGTCATGCTTTAGGGATTCACAATTCCAGACATTCACGGCTGCCTAGAGCTGGCAGAGGACGTGAGGTGTTAGACAGGCATCAGGCAGTGCTGGCAGGGAATGAGGGGGTGGCAGGCTGTGTCTATGAGGTGCCAAGGCAACCGGTCCAAGGATTCAGAATGGCAGACTGGCAAACAGGCTCTATGGTATGTATAGTCACATCTTCAGATGAAATGTTGGGGTCTTAACCAGCTGTTCTGTGCCTCTGACCCTAGAATGCCAGCCATAGTGGCTGTCTCTGAGCTGGCTAGCAGAATCCTACAGTCTGTATCCCGAGCTCCCTGCAGCTCCAGATCCTGCAATGGGGACACTGGATAACCACAAGTTCCTGAAGACAGATTCCAGGAGAGGAATTGTGTGTGGGTCCGCAGTGCCCATTTACTGAGGACTTACTATGTGCTGGGCACTGCACTTCCTACTAACAAGTCTCCTCTTCTAGGGAAATATTACAGTTAGCCAAAGTGGAAACTCACAGAACTTAAGGAATTTTCCCATGTGGCACAGCTGGAATAAATAGTAGAGATGGAAAGTCACATCTGTCTACAAATAGAAAGGTAGAAGGTGTAATTGAGCACCACGAAGTTGGAATCTCTGATACTTTGCATTTTAACTGCTGTCTCTATGGAATGGAAGAAAACAGCTCCCAGAAGGGCGGGGGAAAGAGATTTCGTTGAGCCTCAAGCTGCGGTGCCTGTGGAAAAGCAGCCCCAGCTGCAATGTGAATGGACTCTAAGTATATGCCCGTTATGTTGTCTGGCCAGAGAACCCCATCCTAGAGACTCATTAAACCCTTGCCTGTTGACCTCTGTCATCAGCTTGTCTGGGACCCGAGGGTGCAGAAACCATAATCAAGAATGTTTTCACTGTGGCCCTTTAGAGGAGTCAAAGCTTGCGCACTTGTAGAATGGGAGGGTGTTGCTAGCCACAGAGCCTAAAGGGAAAGGGTAGAGCAAAGAGGGAGGCCCGGGTAACACACATGAAGGCATTAATTACTCACAAATCCGTGGACACCACCTGGCAGAGAAGGCCCAGATCCTGCAATGGGCACTCTACTAGGGAAATGTGCTCCATGTGAATTCTGAGTGTTGAAGTCAGTGGACCTAGCACTTCAGCCCAGTGGGTAAGACACAAACCCAACTGGTCTGTATGCCCAGTTCCCCAGAAGCGGGGAAATCCTCACAGCAGGGTAACAGGGACATCTAGCGATCTTTGAAATCTTCTTTTGCAAACTGTCCCCAAGCTCAGCAGCCGCAGTGCTGACTCCTGGCTTTACGCCAGCCTCAGTTCTGCCGCTGCCCAAGAACTGGAGCCTCACACCCCCATCCCAGGCCATCCCCAGTTCTCCATCTTACCTCGGTGTCCCCTTTATTCATCAGACTGTTCACAGGGAGGGCAATGGCTGGGAAGGAAAAGAGAGACTGGAGTTATCTGGGGTCCGCTCACCCCGTGTTCCATGTTAAAGTTGCCCCTACCCAAACGAGCAGCAGAGGCTGATTCTGTTTCCATTCTCTAGCCCACAGAAGCTGCCCTGAGAAGCCCTATCCCTTCCCCTGGGAAGGTCCTGCTTTGAAGGGGATGTGGGAGCAAAGACAGCTGAGGTGGGGAGGGATGCAGAGAGATGAGGAAAGTGGAGCGGTGGGGGAAAGAGAGGGAGAAGGAGAAACTGTGAGAAAAAAGTAGGAGACAAGGGCAGACTGGAAGGAAAAGCAGGCGGGAAGCAGTCCTTCCATCTCCCCCAATGACCTTGGTCGACCACGGATGGCGCTGAGTTGGCGCTGGCCTAATGCAGCTGAGGCGCTGAGCCCAGATAGACGGTAGGAGGCTGAAGGGACCCTGCCCCCTAGGTCGGGGATCAGGCCCCGGGAGTCATGTTTGCGGTCCAGGACTGAGGCCACATTGCCTGGCGGGGCCAGTCGGGAGGCGGGGCGCTATCCTTGGTGCTGAAAACTCGGCGCGCCCGTTGCGGTCCTGACCTCAGGCCTCGGCAGGAGCGCCCCAGTCCCCTCTCCCCGGGTCCCCGCGCTCGCTCACCTTGCCCGGCGCAGAGCAGAAGCGCCAGGACAGCGGCGGAGCGCATGGTGAACCTGGGGCGCCGAGCCGAGGACGGTCTGGGGCTGGGCACCGAGGGCTCCCGGGCGAGGGGCGGCTGCACGGGAGTCGGGCCGGGCTGCGGTGGCGCTGGCGCTGGAACGGGATGAAGCGTCTCTGTGTGCGTCCGTCTGTCCGCCAGTCCACCCGTCTCTCTGCACCCGGCTCTAGAACTGCAGCAGCAGCGCCCTCACACCCGGCCTATATACCCCCGACCCCGGAAATGACGTCACCGGGGCGGCCCCCTGCCCCCGTTTCCCCACCCCCCGGGTAGTCGCCCTCTTCACCCCCAAGCGGTACCACTCTCTGCTCTTGGTTCCCGCCGCCTACAGCGTCCGGGGCAGGGCGGGAGGCGGGCATCTGGTTGACCCCCACCCCACGGCGGCTCCACCGATTTGCTGAGTGTCTGTGGGCAAGTCCTTCTCCTTCTCTGGGCTTTGCCTGTCTCCATGTGCTCTGAGAGGTAGACTCGGCCCCTGCCAGCCCTCTGCTGGGCTTGTCTTCCCCTGATCTCACAGGCTGGGGCCCCCTCTCACCATTTCAGGGCTTCTGCCCAGGGAGACCTCCCGACCCCCTTCCCTGTCGGCCAACCCAGTTTTGTACCTTCCCACTTTGTAACTGATTATATGTTTATTTATTTATTGGAAGAATATTTAGTCCCCACTCTTTACACGGTGCTGAGCTTGGCACATGGCAGAGAGTAAGCGCTGCAATGGATAACTGTTGAACGTACTGATAGAAAATTCAGCCCGGTGAGAGAGTGGACCCTGTACTCCCTGTGCTCAGACTTTACAAGAAACTGCTTACCAGCAGCTCAAGCTCTCGCCGGATAGAGATCTCTTGGGGTAAGAGTAGTGGGGAGGGCAGGTCTCAGTATCAAGCCCAAATGATGGCTAGCCTTAGTTCATCCTTTTAGGATCACCTCCGGTCCACTGGAAACCCACTCAGCGTATGTTTGAGCGCAGTTCTCATTTTTTCTGTAGTGTTCTCAGATCCTGAGAGTTTTGTGGGAGGACCCTTTGCTCTGGGACTGCCTGATGCTCCTTCCACCTTTTTGCAAATTTAGAAACTAAGGCACCGGATATTAAAGTGAGAACTTAATATGCTATATAGCAAGTGAATGGTAAAGTTGGGCCTAGAGATGGTTTCCATGTTTCCCTCCCCATCTCCTGGCCCCTCTGTTGTTTGATGCCTCTGTGGAATGCCTCCCAGTTACCACCCTCCTCCTCCTCCCCGGTAGCCTGATAAACTCCTCCATCGCCACACCTTGGAGGACTTGAGGTAATTACCCGCTCCTCTATGAGTACTTTTCACAGAAGGTTAGAATGATTTACCTTTAGTTCCTCTGTTTCATTACATGGTTAGCTCCTGGTTTGGTCTGTATTCTAGCCATTTGGCGACTTCAGTTCCTTTCATGGTGCTGGACACATGGTAGGCACGAAGGAAAAATGTAAGGAACAAAGTTCCATCTCTCAATGTCAACTTTGTGTTTTGCATTCGATTAGTTAGGTAAGGTTAAGCTGCTGCAAGTCCAGAATATGACGGGACTTCAAAAAGTTTGTGGAAAAATTCCATTATCTTTTCATTTCAATTTTCCATGAACTTTTTGAAGCCTCCTCATACAGTGGATTAAAATGAATCTTATTTCTCACTAAACAGTCAAGAAGTGAATAGTTGAGCTGGGTAGCTCTGTCATCCTCAAGGTGCGATTTCTGTCTCTCATCCCGACTGGCTGCTCCAGTTACCATGGTTACTCATAAAGGAAACTGAGGCTCCAAACTGATGGATTCTTCTGAGTAACTAGGACATTTCACAAAAGTCTTTGCTCACGGTGGAATGCATCCAGAAATAAACAAGGAGACAGGATGGGGACACAGTGATAATCGGATCACAAACCTCCATCTGTGATAAGATATCTGTTAACTGTGAATCCCTTTAAAGCCGGCTTTGTGCAAGGAACTGCATTTCACCGAAAAGTAAGTTAGTCCTTGTCCTAAGAGAAGACTCTTCTAATCCTTTGGAGTTTCCTGAGTCATCGTGATATCTCGGTCACAAAGTCCAACTGGAAATCTCAGGAAGGAAAGAAAACATGTTGAATAGTGTTAAAGTTGTTGTCAAGTGCCACTGAGTTGGTTCTGACTGAAAAACAGAATGAAACAGTACGTGGTCGTGTGCCCACTTCACAATTGTTCCTGTGTTTGAATCCATGCCTGCAGCCATTGAGTTAATCCATCTCATTAAGGGTCTTCCTAGTTTTCACTGACTTTACCAAGTATGATGTACTACTCCAGGCACTGGTCCCTTCTAATAACACACCCAACAAACAAGAGGGAATCAAGCCATGCACCTTTCTTAGGAGCATTCCGGTTATACTTCTTCCAACATAGATATTTGTTCATTCTTCTGGTAATCCTTTGTATTTCAGTATTTTTTGTCAACACCATAATTCAAAGACATCAATTCTTCTTTGGTCATCCTTGTTCGTCGTTGCTCAGCTTTTGAATGCATGTAAGGAGCTCTGGTAGCGTAGTGGTTACGAATCGGGCTGCGAACCTTAAGGTCAGCGGTTCGAAACTACCAGCCGCTCCGCGGGAGAAAGATGAGGCT